AAGAAAACAGGACCCCAGGATGAAACAAGTCGAACGCGAAAACGTCTCCACTATATTCTTTGTCGATGCTACAATAATGTCGTTAGGAAATGTGACAAAATTTACAGTCTGACCACAAAATAAGGATTAAAACAAAATCTGCCACTTCCATACGGAGCAGTGGGTTTCTGTAATCTTCTGACATTTATCACAATGCCTCTGTGTCTGCAAATGCACAGTGCTCTAACAAAGCTGTCCGAAAAAACAGACCCTGGGAAATAAACAGCTAAAATGGTGGGTAAAGTCAAAACCACTGTAGTGAGCTGAATTGTGCCTTCATCAATTTTTTCCTTGTAATTATTGCTTGCATTTACACAATTTATTTGCTTCCCAAAGGGCTCCAAACCACTTTACATGCAGAAGAGGGCTTGCTTCATTAATAAAGCATAGCACCCATCTTCACAACGTGTGGCAGTCATTCTGAGCCAGCAGGCCTACTATAAAGTGGAGGAAGGAGAAATTGAAGTAGGGACTTCAGGCCACCTTGTGCAGCCCAGAATAGAACTTAGCCAGCACACTGGGGTTACAGTAACACCCCACCTCTTACAAACAGTGCTATGGGATGTAAATGATCAAGTAATCAGGGTCTTGGTTTAATATCTGATCCAAAGGACAGCACCTCTTACAAAGCAGTGTCTCCAGTAACCATACTAAAGCACTGTTTTGGAAATTCTGGTCCAGAAGGAAAAGCGCCACCTACTGGTCCATCAACACCACTTACAGTAGTAACCTAATTTTCCTCAGAGATCTCCCATCCCAGTACTGAGCACATCCAGTCTTGCTACACTACTTTAACAAAATAATGCTACAATGAAGTAACTTTGCAGTCGAATCATCTTTTATGATTAAAATCTTTATGATTGTTTATTCATTTAGGTTGATCCTAGAAAATTCACTATGAGGTCAATGAAGAAAAATTGTGATACAAAGTGACAGTCATTCTGGTCTTCTTTCAGAGGAAATCTCCACGGAATATCTGTCAGAGCTGGTAAAGGCAATAAATGACAGGCACAACACAAAAACAATACAAATAAGGATCTTAACTACAATGTTGGAATATGTAAAAAGCTGAAAACAAACTTACTGTACACATTTGGAAATAATTTAAGTCACACGTCGAATATGACCATTTTTATAGCTATTGTTTTTACATGAATTATACAATTAGTTTGACAAATCTGTTTTTTAGGCATGACAATGATATCATCCTTTTGTGTCTATCACTGATAAGGACATCGTAGGGTAGGTCGAGGGGCCCATAATAGTTCACATTTGATCACTTCTGTCTCCTGAATGGTTGATAATTCCATTCAAATCTAGCCTGGGGTAAGCTAGAAATGTTCTTTACAATCATGTTCTTGAAAATTCCATGGAATGTCAATACATTTCTACCCTATTTTATATCAACATAATTAGGTAAGATATTTTCATATCGCATTGGGTCTTTCTACAGCTTATTTTTTTTTAAAAACAAAGCATGGGAATTTAACAACCATCATATAAAAGAGAGGGGAGGGTGTTATTTTGAGATATACCAAAAATATCTACTGTACCTTCACAGACCCACACCTGATAACCTCACACTATGCAAAACACAACAGACAATGCAGGAGCAGCTGTCGGTAACCATGGAAATAACAATGGCCAACCAAACAGTTGTCTCAGTAACCATATACAGTAGATCAGAATAGTTAGTTTTAGAGGTGCCAATTAAATCCATAAACTCTGAACAAAGGAGAGCTGCACTGTCAGCATACAGAACTTCACTTCATAGCGAATGCCATAGTAAGTCAATATTTTACAGCTGCTGGAGAAAAAGCCCTTTCAACTTCAATACTTGCTATTTTATTCCCCTCACACATATATAAATCATTGAGAGTGATAATCATTCCTCTCAAACCGAGAGATGGAGAAGCTGTTTTCTAACCTGGTTGTGCTTCTTCATCAGACCTTTTAAAACTGAAACAACTCTGTCTGATTTGTTTAAGTCAGGTGACGGACACAGTGCCACCTTCACAAGATGAACAAGAAGACCTGGCAGGGAAGTCATGGCACCCAACATTGTAAAGCTCATCTTCAAGCTCAATATTATTTCCCTCCATCTCTACATCTTCTTATGGGCTCAGAGCAGGCAAAATGGAGACTTCCTCCAGCACCCATGAAGAATGAAATTCTTTCTTAAACCAAATTTGCATATGGATCATTCTATCCCTTTTTTGTTTGCAAAAGAAGGCCATGTGCAAGGTCTACGAATGCTTAGGTGCAAAGATGAATAAAAAGAACTTGTGAAAGAATGATAAAATACTCCATCATCCTTTTCTTTTTTCTTGTCTTTTCTTTTACTACTATGCCATCACAACTACTAGAAGAATAACTAAATGACTAATACTGTACTATATGTGTATTAGTCCCACAATGACTCCTACAGTAATTGCTTCAGTACACCTACTGTACCATTAATACTCTTATAGGTTTTGACCACTGCTTCTACTAAAACTCCAGCTCAGCTACAACTGCTAGCCCTACTACAATAACTCACGAAAAAACAACCACAGCATCTTCAAAAATAGTTATATTAATAACAACAACGATGATGAAGAAAAAGAAATACAGTGCCATAAATACCAACATGCAAAATCAGACTCAAACAGGATTACAGATGCTTTTCCATTAAGAAGACAAAGCTGCTGTGATGAGATAAATAAACACCAGTAAAAAATCAGTGGCTTTTCATGTACATCCCTTCAGGTCCCACCTATCCCCACACTACAGCCGCCCCCTCCAAACCACTACTCTGACCCCCCCCCACACACACACACGCAACATTTTCTAGAACACGCCATTTCTTTTTTTAAACATAATCCGCCACTGAAGCATTCAGCATAATTACGCTTTCCTCAGCGCTGGATGCTTATGGAATTATGCAGTTGATTAACCGCGATATGCGGTCTGCATTATTAATGAACTCGATCAAACTTTAATTGCTCCAGTGTTGCAGAAGGTCCAGGGGGCCGAGGACACGTGCGCTGACCCTAAGCGAGTGTGCGCGTGTGTGGGCACGCGCGGGCGTACACACAGGAAGGAAAGGCAGAGATTCCTAGCAAACCTGGGCACCAATTCATCCCAGCGCTCCGCTCTTGTCTCAGGGCAAGAGAGCCATGAATTATTAACCCATAGAAAACAAAAGGTCTTCCACTTCCAGCTCAGCTAGGTATGAATAATGGAGAGCAAGCGACTAACGAGCCTGTGTTAGTCAGGAGCACCGAGCATGAGCAATGGCTGAAGACTAAAGGCATCATGCTGGGAGCACAGGCTACCAAAAACGATATATTCTGCAAGTGCAGACTCATTCCTTTTCTGATCAAATATTTACCAACACTGCTAGCATGTACAGTAGCTACTGCTCTTTTTTTTTCTCAATCTTTTGAAGTCTGGTCCAAGATAGATTTTTGTTTTCCAAGGGAGGGACTAGGCCCAAACCTATTTTCTCAGTTCTTCAGCTCAAAGCACAGAAGACAACTGGGTCACTGCCAACTGCCTGTGAAAAAGAAGGCCGAAAAAAAGCTGCTGGTTGTTACTTCTTAACGATTTTTTTTTTAAAAAGGTGGTTTGCAACCTGCTCTCCTGAAAGCAGGATTTTGAAGGTTCTTTTTCAAGCTGATCTTTGTTATTCTAGCAAATGTGTTCTTGGACAAATTCTGACCACTTAGCATCATATCTGTGTAATAAATAAAGGATATTGCTTTCCGAAATCTTTTTTCCCAGACCCAAGCAAAATGAGAATTGATATCAAAGGGCTTTTTGTTTGGGGGAGCGGGCTACGTTTTGTCTATGAACTATTTAAATGGAAGTTCTTAAGGAAAGTTTAGGAGGATAACAGCAACTACTGTAAATCACTTTCACCTCATTCATCGCTGGATGCAGTATATATACTGTATATCATCCTCAGACTCCTCTTTTGGGCATTTCATCTCATGCATCCCCTCCTCCACCCAAACCCTGCCCCTCCATCACTTCTCACTCTCTCACTGCCGGGGGGACCCAGCCTCCTAATTCTACAGCCAAGGTTCCATGCTGGTTAAGCCAAAGGTTACCATAGTTAAAATACTCAAACATATCTAACTCTTGGGTTTTGTTATTCCCTGTGGACTTAATTTTGGTATGCTGGGTGAACCAGGCTTCAGGGTTACTTTTCAATATGTGATTTAATTAGTACATTGCTCAAGTACTAATTAGCCCAGGCCCAAGACTACCACATATTCTAGAAAAATATATATAGAAAGGGATTAAAACCAGGACCTGCGCCAGAGTGGGTAGAAACCAAAGCCTACTTTTGTACAGCCAATTTTGTTTTTAGGCTCTGACTGTGTAACAGATGCAAATCTATCTTAAGTAAATGATATTTGAAAACAGTCAGTCAATGATCTCATTCTGGGTCTCTAAAGTCCCAAAACACCACAGGAGCCCACAGCCATCTAAACTGGGTTTGATAACAACACAGTTGTACAGTACCTGTGTCGGGATGTTTCTGAAGTTGTCAGTCCTACAGTAAACATGAGCATGAAATTGTGGAAACCACTTAACAGGAAGAAGCAATTTAGTGCAAGTGGAGATCCACAGCACAACTTTGCACTTTCAGAAACGTGACGACTGGGGCCATGGGTTCAGTTCCTGAGTGGATTCTGGATAGTCTCCCCACATTCATTTCGGTGTCCTCTATGTTCTATAGTATCTTACCACGTTGCAAAGACATACAGTACTGTACTGGTAGGTTAAACAGCTTCTATGGAAAACTGGCCCCAGTGTGCATTTTTGTGTCTGTGTGTGTCTGCAATGGACTGGCGTGCCCATCCAGGGTTCACCCCGATTACTAAGCAGGATAGACTCCGGCTCCCCTGTGACCCGGAACTCGAAGAAGCAGTTAGGAAAACAGATGATTGGAAGCAAGTGATGGCGCTCACCTTGGTTGTTTTGACTTTGTTTCCCGTGCTGCAGCTCCAGCCGGTGAGATCCGGCAACACTTTACACTCCTCTCCATCCAGACAAGGCTGCATTTGGCACCACCATTTCTGGGCAACTATTGAAGCTGGGGGAAGGAGAAAAGAAGACGTCAAGAGGAGACAGAGATGCCAACACAGAGTGGGCACGGTGGCAGAGAATGCCATTTGAAAATACGACTAGAAAACATTACAATATGGAATGTCAATCTGTGTTAATCTCCCAAAGGGGCAACACTGTAACTGAACACCTGGTTTTCCAAGTGTAGTGAGTAAACAGTAAAACAAAATGAGAGGCTGCTTAATAAAAACATACATTTTACTTAGTACAGAATACTTCATCCTAAACCTGGAGCATGAAATGTAGATTTTTTTTAAACCTGTATTCTTAAGCTAAATTTTCATTTGAACAAATACTGACAGACACAGTGTCTTGTGTAACTCTGTCTGCCAGCTTACATTTATCACACTGGTTGGAAAAAAAAACCCAATATCACTGAGTAAAAAAAACACACATTCAAACTGTCCATAGGGGCTCTTAAATTGGATATATAACACCAACAATTTTATTGTTCTGTTTTCTTGTGATATTAAAAAAGTATAAACTTTGCAGTGTGTAAATATTTTATGTGTACACCTTTATTAGAGTTTACCACTGTATTTTTTTCCAGTTTTACCAGGCTTAACCTGAACATACACTCTAGTTTGGCATGTTTCCTTGCAGTTCTTTAGCACTTTTTCTTACCATACTTTTACCATGTTTTCTCTGCATTATGATGCATTTTACCTGTATGTTTGCCATGGCATGGCACAGTAAACATTTATCAAGGTGACACTGAGTATTTTGAGGGATTAATTCCACCACTGCACTGCAGTCCAGGTCTAAACAAAGCCCTTGAGCTAACGGAACTGTTGAGCCATGGGCACAGAGGTCAGAAATGTTGGAGACCGCAAACCTAGCCAGACACCTTCTTAAACATTTCTCTATACAAGAAGTGCTGTCAAGAAGGAGAAAAGAGTAAGGGCAGTTACGGTAAAGAAAATCAAACATAAAAAGAAAAATCAATCTCACTTGCAAGCAGACACTGTTGTCCCAGTATTAAATGACCAGCACCAATGTCCGGCTGCCTGTACTGTCCTCTGGGCTTGACTAAGAAACACATGAGCTCAGTAACTCACTGGTTGGCAGAACACATTCTTGTTTGGAACCACATTTCTTCCTCAGATTGAACTCATCTGACATAAATGCTCTCTTTAGCCCAAAGCGCTGTCGCTAACAGAAGTTGATGATGACAGCGTGGGTGTCCGGTAAAGTAAGACAAACAGCCTACATGAAGAAATGTTTGGAAATCACAAAGTTAAAAATGGATTGTACAAATAAGAAATCAATGGCTGATTTTTGAATTCCCAAAAGAGAAAATAAAATCATCCTTAGATTGAAATATTATTATTTTTGTACTGAGCAAAAATAAATGATTAGTACCTACTACACTGTAGGTCTAGATAGTGTGAGGTAACAGACAGCCTATGTTTTTTGTGTATTTGTCCCTACTCCTACTCTACTATGTGGCTCAACACCATGGTTGTTTTGGGTCAAGATAAAAATGAAATGTGGATGGCACATTTACAAAATTCAGAACTGTACTGTATGAGAATGCAATATTGAAGGTGAAGAGGTGACCAAAAGGAAAATGTTTAAATCTGAATGAAACTGAATACGTATGTACTATATTCCATATGTAATGAATATTGTGGCCCATTTTGAAGTACTACAAAATATACAAGAAGTACATCAATGCAGATGTCAACAGAGAGGACTAGTAGAATTCTCTGACATACTCCGTGCTCCAATAAATTGTATCTCCATACTCCTCTGGCAGGGTATATAAAAACCACAGACAGTAAGTAAGTAATGATTCTTAATATTATTTGAAATACAAAATTCCCATAACTTTATATATAATATATAGTATATACAGCTAAAAAGCCCTCAAACTGCCAAATAGAAAATATGGATGATTTCTCTTTTCCTTTCTGTTTCACTGCTCCTTGACAATCTGAGACACTTGATGATAAACTGGTATGTTTCAAATGAAAGAAATTGGCTGCTTTTGAATGTACTCTGTCAGTGTCTTTACCAGCACTTTAAATTCAAATCCATTCAGATGGCTTTTTGGTTACTTACATTTTTTTGGGTGATGCGTCTGCCTCAAAAGAAAACAGTGCCGCTTGGGGCAACACTGTGTCATTTCAGGATACGGTACATAAGGACGCTGGGATGTTATGGTATGGATGAGTACAAGATGGTTTAGACCGACTCATCAAGAGAAAATGACCGTGCAGAATGTCTGGACAATGTCAGCTGGAACAGAAGTAAGGCTGGAATTTCTAGCAAGAAACTGTCATTGGCATCTCCCTTCACTGCAATTCTCAACGCAAATTATTCCAAATCCTTCAAAGCTTCAGGCAGAAATGTACTATTTAAGCAACGCCTCGGGGTTATTATTAATAATAATAATAATTGCTTATACTTATATAGTGCTTTTCTGGACACTCCACTCAAAGCGCTTTACAGGTAATGGGGACTCCCCTCCACCACCACCAATGTGCAGCATCCACCTGGATGATGGTCATAGTGCGCCAGAACGCTCACGCTCATCAGTGTTGAGGAGAGCAGAGTAATGAAGACAATTCATGGATGGGGATTATTAGGAGGCCATGATTAGTAAGGGCCAATGGGAAATTTGGCCAGGACGCCGGGGTTACACCCCTACTCTTTTCGAGAAATGCCCTGGGATTTTTAATGACCACAGAGAGTCAGGACCTCGGTTTTACGTCTCATCCGAAGAACGGCGCCTGTTTACAGTATAGTGTCCCCATCATTATACTGGGGCATTAGAACCCACATGGATCACAGGGTGAGCACCCCCTGCTGGCCCCACTAACACCTCTTCCAGCAGCAACCTTAGTTTTTCCCAGGAGGTCTCCCATCCAGGTTAACAAGAACGTGTTACTGTAGCATTCAGACATTTGAAAGCCAGCTGATCCTACCATCAACACACGAAGGGGCAGCTCTCGTCGTTCCAGCCACCTGCCCCGGGAAACAGGAGCACTTCACGGTCTGGGACCTCTCCTCTATCTTGTTCTTGTTGCAACAGCGGTGGGCAGCAATGACCTCACAGGTCCCAGCTTTGACATGAACTGGGAAAGAAAAAAACAAAAATGGGTCCTTGACAAAAAAAACAAACAGCAGCAAACTGAGTCAACTCCAAATGAGCAGAGACCCGTCCATCACGGATTTGGGCAGGAGCTTTAACCTGTGATTTCAAAGTGCAGTACAGCTCTCTTATGCCACCCAAGAGACTGTATATATTCAGGGAAGAACAGTAGCTGCAAGACATGCTACCTGTAGGAAATAAGAACACCAGCCAGTGGTCTTTCTGTCTTTGAAGCAGTTTCAGCCTTTCATTTGAACGGTCTGCTTCTAAATTCTCTCCACTACTTAGCCAATTGCTTTTGGCAAGGTTATGGGCACGAATTGCAACAAACTTCCTTTGGAAAATTTGCGGTGAACTAAATGTTTCACAAAAACTTAGGAGTGCAATCTGTCCATTTACCCTCACGAATACTGACTGTGGTAAATCTTCATGTTGTACACACTGTGGTACTTTTTCATGTGGTTGTCAGAAATCTGAATTATGTTGTACTGTGCCTCTATGCCATCATGATTTTGCTGTGATTTTACTATGGTAAAACCACTGGAAACATTTATTAGCGGTAGGGCTGATGAGGATTTTTTTGCCTCTAGACCTCTAGACATCCTTGAAAAACTGAAATCCTGTTATCAAATTTAAAGTGTGCACAGAACTCCCAGCAACCTGCCATCTGCACAAAACATCCATTCTCGCTTTCACATCTTACATTTCTTCGGGTTCTACTTTGGTCGGAAATCAATTACTGTACTTAGACGTTACTTCCAAGTCAGAGCTTCACAAGCTCTGTATATACAGGTATATACTGTATAGTACAGGGTGCTGCCCTATTTGACACCACATTCTCATGTGATCACTATATATTTGTGTAAAATGCTGTGCGCAATTGTTGTCCACTAAATCTTTCTCCAATTTTGTGTGTAATGAGTTGACTTGGCCAGAACCACACAATGTTCATAAATCACTTATCTGAATGGGCCTGCTAAATTCATATCTATGAACTATTGTACATACCTTTTGCAGTATATACAGTAAAATATACTGTATACAGTATGATTTTATCTGAAGCAATGCATAGACAAAAGGGTCAGAAAGTACAGAATAATTAGAGCTTTAAAAGTATGGTGCTGAGAACTAAATTCCAGCTATTTCAGCCAAAAAGTGCAATTTGAAAATTGGTATTGCTGTGTATTTAACCAGTTAAAGACAAACATTTCTTTGTCAAATTGAAAAGCTCTTAAATTGTAAAACTAATGAGCAGAGACTATTCTGTTTCTCAAATTAAACATTTCAATGAATCACAGTTCAAATGGAGACAGATTTCTTTCTTCCTTCAACAGAAATGCAAAAACAATTTTTACAGCAGGTTTAGCAGGTCTGTGACTGGATGAAAGGGCCAGAAACGTCCTTGAAATTCAAGATTTTTTTTCCCACCAGAATTCTTTAAAGTGTTCACCCATGGGAGTTTTTGTCATATTCCAATTGTGTGTATTTACATGGAAATCTCAGAGAATAATAAGGGAAGAAATTTAAAAACAAATTAAAATTATGGCAAGAACCTCAATTTTAAGCTTTTGGGTTAAAAAATTATAGATCTTTTAGGCTTAAAGGAAAATTTATATAATCTACAAATACCTGTTTCCTGCTTCCCAAGTAGCCTAATACAGAAGCCATACAAGTCATTTTCCACACATGTTGTTTTCATACATTGTACTCTAGTCATACTGTAGGTTTTAAATGGTCAACAAAGATAAAGTACATCTGTCTTGTGAACGACAGTCCAGTGCATTGCTGCAGAAACATTTGGGGACAATTTTAGCATTCACCACCGGTATCTGTTACCGGTTTTGGAATAACCCAAATAAGGAGCACCTTGCTTCAGAAATCTGTACTGGAAAAGACTGGAAGGTGTGACATTTGATTCTCTTCTAGTTCTTCAACTGTTATTATTGAGGATATTCTCTTTTTGTTTTAGACAAATGCTTGTACGCATGTCTTTCAAAACCAAACACCATTTTGAAAAGCAAGAAGGAATATTAAAGAGATCACAATGGAAAAATAATATTAACATATTGCTAATTAACTGATGTGTTCAATGAGTAACCTCAACACAGCCACAGTTTGGACCTTTGATATCCAGATCAGGGGGCCTACAGTATATACAGTGAGCTCCACATTGAGATACATTGGAAACCTTGTCTGACTAGTTTGAAGCAGACAACATTTTTCTCTAGGACAAAAAAAGCTTTGGCTTTGCCGTAGAAGAAGAAGGATAATGCTCAGTTTTGCTTCTACTGTACATACGGTAATTAGATTTGTGTTGTTTACTGGATTAATTCAGAGCTTCAAAGATTTAGAATTGTTTGTAGGGGTGAATAAACACCCCTATCACAGCAAGCTTTGATTTTACCATTTTAATGAAACCTCTTAATTTCAGGTAAGATCTGTAACATTTGCATGCAGGACTTCAATATGCAGTAAGTCATAATATTAAAAAGGTGTAAAATGATTAGCTAAAAACCATGGGCTGGTAAAGTATAAAAGGTTGGATTTTCAATTTTTTTATATTTCACAACAATTTCAGAAGTTTATAACACTATTTTTGTTAGATCAACATTGTGCACTAGGTAACTTACTGTAGTTACTTCTGTAATTGTGATTAGTGTTCTAATGTTGGATAAACACAGCTAAATTTCTAAATGATTCATATGATTTTTTTTAATGATACTATCATTCTACAGAAGACTGATAGGAAGTGTCCTACAACAAAGTTTCAGAATCCTGTCTGAGAGGACTCTTCTTATATTCATATGGATTGGCAATTTGGAACGTAATTTGCAAATAGATTGAAAATAGACCCCCCGATGTCCCATTAAAGAGCAATCCAAAAACCTAATTTAAAACATTAAAAACATTTAGCTTCAAATCCATCAGGAGTCACTCACTTTCCAAACTCCGGCCATCAGACGATTGAATTGAAACCTGTAACTCGGTAATACTGTAAGAGATGGAAGTTTGAGTCTTTAATATGTTAAAGCTTTAATGAAGGCTATAAAAATAAACTGCAAAGTTTTGGGACAGCAAACCAAAACCTATTATTGCACTACATCAATCACTTTGTGTCTGTGAATGATAAGTGCATTACAATATACATTTTATTTTTGAGTACTGTAATTCCATGCATTCATTCAACTATTGTAGAGCACAAGTATTTGCACACATTCTTTTTAAGCAAATTTTAGAGTGTAAAAGTCAGTATTTGGTTGCATAATACTTTAAAGCAATACCTGCTTGAAGTCAGTGAGCTCAAAAAACTCTTTTTATAATCATATATCATCTCTTTTTATAATGAGATGCCACTGCGCCCACTCCATTCTCAATTCATAATGCTCCCATCAGGAAGACAGTGTAGGGTACCAACTTCAAATAAAAACATTAATAAGCAGTCTTTTGTCCCCTCTGAAAATAAAACTACTCAATAAAGGTATGTAAATGTATATTTACATACCACCAATTTATTTATCCATCTATTTATGTACAGTATCACATACTGTTGTTGTGATTTCTTGTGACTCTTATGTTCTGCTTGTACCCGTATGTTTTGTACTTCTGTGGGAGAAGCCACAGACAACCTTCCACAGCAGTGGACAATAAAGTATCTATCTTTAATTTCTTAAGACCATAAGTACAGCTACTGTACAAATGAGAGGAAGCTACTATGTTTGTCCCATCTATACCATTTGGTATGTAGTAGCTAACTGATCTACTGTAAGGTTTTCATGCAGTTCTTTCTTGAAAGAGGGCCAAGGTATTGACAAGGTATTGGGTGGATTGTGCTATACTCCAAGAACCCCTTCTTTTAATTCATTGCGTTTGTCGTTTTAACTTTTGTCTTCTGTTTTGTGTTTCACTATTGTTTGTTTCACTTTGTCAAGGTTTTGGGGGATTGTGAATACTGGTATCATGTCTCCTCGTAGTCTTGTCTCTTCAAAACTAAAAAGTTTCCTTCAGCCTGTTGATGTAAGATATCCATATATCCCCTCGAATGTAAGTTAGTTGCACTTCTCTGGAATGCTTTCAGAGCAGCATTATCTTTTTTAGGACTTGGTGACTAAACCTGTATTGCAAATGACACCTTATTAGTATAGAATACAATTTTCGAATAACACCCTGTGGTTTTAATTCCATGATTTAACTATACAGTATAACATGTTGTATTTTTTATTTCTTCTCCACATTGTCTGGAAAAGGTAAACTATGTGTCAAGATAAACACATAGTATGTTTGTTTTATAACTAGCCCTTTCTGGGTCAGTGTTTCCCAGTTAGTATTCCTTGGTTTTTTTTCTCCATGTAAAATGTTGCACTTGTCTTCATTAAATACCATCTTCAAGGTGATTGCCCAGTTCTGAATTTGATCTAAATCTTTTTAAATTTAATTTGCTGTGTCATTGGGGTGTGTGAGCCCTCCTATTTTGGTATAACCTGCAAACGTGACTAGTTTACTAACTATACCAGAATCTAGATCATGGATGTAAATTATAAAGAACAGGGTCCCCATAACATCCCTGTAGTAATTTAATTCTTGCCTAGTCTTGTGGTATTCTGACTTCAGTTTTGTTCTTTAGCAAGTACACTGAATGCTCAATTGGATTTAAATCTGGAGATTAACTTGGCCAGTATATGATTTTTCACTTTAATTTCCCTGATGAGCTCCATACAGTAGTAGCATTGGTCAGATATTTTGGGTCACTGACAGGCTGGATGGTGAATCAGAATGAAAGCAGTTTGCCGACATGCTATACTGTTTCTATAAGGGTCGGATTTCACTCTGCATCCGTCATCAAGAGTTACAACATCAATAAAGAGTGAGAGACACTCACATATGACCAGGCCAAGGCAAGCTTCGCAGCATTTTGTCACATTGGTTGTACTTTATCTCAATTTTAAGCTTTCCATCACTTTGGTAAAAGTTTATTTGGTATCTGTC